TATATATATATATATATGAGTAATGATTTCAGGGAAAGGTTTTATATTTCCCCTACAAGATAGAAGATCAATGTTTCCCCTACCATCCAGCCGTCTAATTTTGATCAAGAGAGCCACTCACCGTTTGATCTTAGATCCAATGTCTCAAAGTATTTTATTCTTAGTTGTTTTTTATACAAATTGTATGAATATGAAATTTAATACGTGTCATCTTCTCATTGGAACGCACCCATAAAAATTATTAAAATAATTTTTTTGATAAAATATAATGACCAAATATCCCTTGAAATTTTCAGGGGCATGTTGGTTATTTTATTTTATTGAAAACATTTTTTTTATATTTTTCGCTAGTGCGAGTTTAATAGAGGTTTGGATGTCCAAAATTTAGTGTCAAAATAGTTTACAAAAAAAAATTAAAATTAAAACAGTGTAGAGACGTGACATTGTGATTGAAGCAATCTTAACCCTCCATTCAGAATGGATGGTTGGATAAGAGGAAGTATATAAGTTTTATGCTGTAGCGGAAGCATAGAAAGCATGCCCATGATTTTATGCAACGGTTATATAGTAATATGATGCAACAACCTTAAAAAATATGGTCATTTGTTTGATTTAAATTTTGAAATATATATTCTTTTCATTCTAATGAACAATCACAAAAATGAAAATTTGAAAACACAACCTAGAAAGTATTTTTTTAACCCAATTAATATAAGCCGTTCATTTTGATGAGATGCTTATATCTAGGCTTTAGAATGATTTTTTTTCATTTCCAATTTTTTTGGATGACTTTATTATCATTAGATGAACAATATTAAAAAAGAAAAAAAAAAGATTTTGAATTTATAAAGGCTAAGATCTTGAAATTCACTAAATGAATGGTCTATATTCATTTTTGGAGGGGACTCATTTTGACCATATATAGGGTTCAAATTGAAATTTTTTTTTTTTTGAAATTGATTATTGAGATGAAGAGAGTGTGTGCAAAATTTTGGGTCATACAAATACCGCAAACATGGTTTTCTAAAAGTGTCATTGCATTATACTATGATACAATCATTGCATGAAATCACTTTCATATATATATATATATAAACACTACCCAACGCCTATAGACGAAAATGAATAGTAATTTCACCTATGCTCATTATCGTCCAAAGTTTATCATACGGTCACGATTGTTCGGTAGTGTTTCAATTTTCATATTATTTATATAAATTAGAATCATCTGAAATTTGGAATGTATCTTCATCAAAAATTGGAGAATCTAATAAATATAAAAAAAAATTCGTAAAATATAAATTAAAAATGAAAAATTGAAACACTACCGGACAATCGTGATACGATGAACTTTGGACGATGATGAGCATGGGCGAAATCACTGTTCATTTTCGCCTATAGGCGTTAGGAAGACTTTCGTACAAAGAAATGTAATCCTTAGGTGGATTACAAAGTTCGAGAAAATATATGTTACATATAATGTGAATTATATCATATATATATTATAAATATATTATATTGTATTATATTATATTATA